TACAGATCGCCAAGGCATGTAAAGCCAGGGGTTTCTTCTGCAAATGAAGCTGTGACAGGCCCACTGACCCCCAAGATGGTTACAGAGGTCTTCAGGGGACCAGACACCTCCTGTCAAAGATGGTGCAGGAGCCAGAAGATGAGACTTGGAAATGATGGCTTGGAAAGCTGTGTCGTGAACACCAGCAGCCTAAGGCAGGCGATTAGGAAGACATTTGGCTTCATGCCATCAAGGTGGTAACTTTGTCACGAAATGCGAAGGCAAAATCCTTTAAGCACTCTTATTGCTTGCAATTGATTTTTCTCACCATGAAGACACTCCTTCACTAATTAGCGATGAACCCGTTTGCTTTATGAGGGGAGTGCTGGACTTTCCAACTCCTTGCTGTAGATTTTCAGCAGTTCGATAAATCAATCTTTTCTAATCCTTGAAATTTAAAAAAAAAAAGGGAAAAGAAAACAAACATCCCTACTGCCTCATATTGGCAGGCAGTGGGGAGACACAATAGCACGCTTTATTTTGTGTCTCTCTCGTGCTTGCCTGCAGGAAACGTCTGTCTCTCTGCTTTTTTTGCGCCATGTTAAAATGAATTCCATGGGTCTTTCCGAATGCTTTCGAGGGGACACTTCATCCATCTATTTTTATTTGGGTTTCGTCACCCGTAACAGCTACTAAAGGTCCTGTGTACTCACTTTGGCATTTTTGCTTGCTAGCCAAACTGTGTTATTTTGGGGCCCAAGCACTGAGTCCGTGTGCTTAGTAAGCCTTTTTCTGCTATCGGAGAGATAGGAAAATACTTTGAATTGTCAAAAGAGTAATAAATTCAAGTTAGGTAATGTTAAACCATAAAGGGTTGAATAAAATGATAACACCTGAAGTTGATTAGTTATGTAGGGTTTTATTAAAGGCCCAGTTTTACTCTAAATGTGGCTCAGAAATGACACTTTGTTAAATATAAAAAAAAAAAAGAAAGTAAACTCTCTTCAAAACGTAAGAAGACCAGACTTTATTCTTTTTAAGTGAGAGCTGAATAGCTGCTTTTTGATAACAGGCTTTCTCTGTTCAGCAGCATTTTAGAACCAATCTGTGTGTGAAGGTAAATTCTTGCCTTACTTTTCCTGCTGCAAAAAAAGCGAAGGCTTTAGTAATCTAGGATATTGCTAGTCTACAATGGAAATGGTTTGCACCATATAAGTTGCGGATTGTCTGTGCCTCTGTATTGGGCTGTCAGTGTATATTCTGGCAATTGGCCTTGTGTCAAAAAAGTACATGTTGGGGTTTTAAAAAGATAGGAAGCATGAAAGGGGCTTCCGAGCTTACGGTGCATTGGTTTTGAAATTCCTTATGCATCTAAACAAGGATATAAGTAGCTAATTTTAGCAACTTTTTAAAAAAGTATTGGTCTGAAAATATCACAGGAGGTAATAGAAGGTAATATGAACAATCCTTTCTCATCATTGAAGGAGAAAGTACTCTGCGAAATTGAAAGACATCTAACTTAAATAAGATTTTGAAAGAGTTTTACATGATGTGTAATTAACCTTAAAGAAGTATTTGCCCCAAGGTAAAGTCAGGGCTTTTTTAAGATTAGAAAATGAATTAGGTATTTATACGGATCGGTAGACCATCCACTATCCATCATCTGGGCTGCAAAGAAACGCAAGGGAGGTGAGGTAAGATTTTGCAGGTTAAAGGAATAATGCAACCACTAAAGATTGGCTTTTTAACTTCAGGTGTTTGTAAGTGAAGCCGCCACCTAAGCCATCATTCAGGTTTCCTCTGCAGTCAGTAGACCTTAAAAACCTGTTCTTGTAGGGGATAGATTGTTCTTTGGGGGTACCAGTCTCCTGTTAACTATGGAGGAATCAGAGTCACATAGTTTAAATTCAATGGGCTGTATCCCTTACTGCCAGGAAGTGGAAGAATTTATCCAAATCTGGAGAAAGCACTTTAGATCTAGCATCTCAAGCTGTGCTAGGCTAGGTTTTCCAACGATTTCTGCTTCCTATTACAAGCTTTTGCTTGTATCGCTAGTGAATATAATCTCAGTTTTCCAGTTAGCAGCTCCATTTTCCTGTGAGCTAAGGCTCTTCCAAGGCTTTTCTCTTGTCTAAGTGATGGTTTTTATGTATCGCAGATTCTGACACAGTATTACTGCAGCACTGCTAGGTTTCACAGACTTTACCAGGGGAGTAATTTTTGTCAGACACGAATTGTTGCTAACACAAGAGTTAAGCTTCTTACAACACTTGAGTTGGTAAAATGAAAAGGAATGATCTGTATTTCATGAGGGATATAAGAGACTAAGTCGTACAGGCCCTATGTGTAGAGATTTGAAGTGTTTGGGAGTTCGGCGTCTTTGAAAATCTCACATCTTTAGGCACCTGCTTGCTCCTAGGCACATCTGGGTTGGACATGGGGTACAAACTGCTCAGGTCTTTTTGACGGTTTTCTCCTGAGCTGCTTTGAAGTGTTAGCCTCAAGCTAAAAGGCAATCCGAGTTTACCAATTTTGCGTTTTGTCTATACAAAGATGAAACGGAGCCCTTGGCTGCCTTGAAGAAAGGCTATTACAGATCGCTGAAATACTTCACAAGGGTCTGGATAGCAGCAACAGAGTAAAAAATTTCCCTAATTCTCTCTTTTTATAAGCTATCACCAGCGACATTTCAACAGTAAAATCTTTACCATAAAACCTGAGTGCTTGTGAACACAATAATAGAAATTCATGCCCTGCTCCTGCCCACATTGCTGGGCTGGGAGCTCCAGACTGTTTCACGTCTTCGTTTAATTTAATTGCATCACAGGGGAGCTGCAGGTCCTGCAGTGCTAGACATGCCATGAGCACAATGGGAGCCTGCCCCAATGATCTTGCAGGCTGAGTGAATGAGAGGGCAAAGAGAATCATTGAGGGCTTTGACCAACATCATGCTACACAGCTGGGATGGGCTGGAGATCCCTGCTGGTGCAGCTAGGGGGGGAGCCTTTTAATACTAATGGCTTTTCTGTGTTCCTGGTACCTCCTCCGATGCATTGCAGATGCAGAGGTCACACTGTCTCAGCCTATGTTTTGCTTAGCCAAAGGAGCTGAGCTTTCCTTGCTGTGTCTTGGAACCAGGGACTCAGTTCCCTGCATCAAGCCACCTCCTCTGCACTTGCTTTCTCCTTCCTTCCTGATCCTGATATGCTTTGTGCTTTCCCCGTGCATTGTTAGATACCGCCTTTGAGTGCCCTAGGGTAGCTCAGATGTCCTCCATGCGGCTGACAGGTGTGGCACAAGATCTAAGGCGAGCAGCTGTCGGGGTGGCAGCTGATGACCAGGGGGGATCCCTGCAGGGATGGCAGTCAGGGAAGCTGAAGGGGGTGGTTGGATGCTGGAACAGAGCTGCAGGGAACTGTCAATGGCTGGGGGGATGGACCCTATAGATGCTGTAGGTGCTCAAGCTGAGATAGCACTGCTTACCTGTCAGTGACGTGGGGACAGCTACCTTGTCCCCCATGGTGTGTCCTCTACTTGTACCTCGCTGCTCAGAGTTGGATTAGGGCAAGTGTTATGAGCATGGCCAGATCCAGCCCATTCGACAACTGTTCCCTCCCTTTCCCAAAGACCCCAGGTGACCATGCCAGGGCAAAGCTGGGACTGGCAGCATCGCTGCCTCTTCTGCCTCAGCCAAGGACAAGGTGGGGAGAAAATGGGAATGTTTTGCACAATATACTGTGTAAAACCATCTTCCTCTGATGAGGACTAAATCCTGCTCCTCTTGATACTCAGATGGCCCCTCTGTGGCTTCAGGTGCACGTGAATGGTGCGGAAGTTGTCCCTACATGGCATTAGCCATTGTGAGGAGAAAACACAAAGCCTCATCTTGGACATACTTAGTGTCCCTCTCAGTCAGAAGTTACTACTGAAAATCATTCAATTTTAATACAGCTTCTTTCTAACTTGGGCTGAAGCAGGTCCCTTCCAAGCAGAGCGGTTTGTTTAGCAGAGGGTATAGCTTGACAGGTTGCCAGTATTGACCAAAGGAGGTCTCAGCAGGATGGACTGGCCCCGGCTAATTTGGCATGGGTAATGAGATGAACATATTGAGCCAGCTTCCACTTCTGGCACCCATAGTGGCTGCTGCAAGGGATCACACATTCAAAAGCTCCACACCAGGGGGGAGAGGAGGCCTGGGAGTTGGCCTGCCCTCCCCATGCGTTGCACATCACCCGCTACACAGGCAGAGTTAGGCGCAGAGCCTGCCCCAAAAGGTCAAGGAGATTCCCCTAGGAAAATGGCTGCGACTAATCTTGTGTCCCCACAGTGGCAGAAGCTCGTTTTGAGTGGTCCATCTTGGCTTCTTCTTCACTGCAGCAGGCTGCTTTGCACTCTTGCTTGGCAGAGTCCTTTCTTTGTCCTTCCCTGTGAAATAGGAGTAAATAGGTCAATGCTCTCTGTCACCCAGGGCTTTAGAAGATCCTAATGCCGTTACCTCAGAAAGAAGATCACGCTGCAGTCTGGCTCATAAGTTGGCAACTTGGGAGTTACACTTATGAAAAAGTAAACGGCAATAAAGAGGTTCCTGTAGTACACTACAGCACCGCAGACGGAGAGTGCTGGAGGCATGGTGAAGTTTTGCCACCTGAACGCATGAAAGCCTTCTGTAGTGGCTCTGCTGGAGTTTCAAAACTCGTCTTGTCCAGAGATACCCATGATTTTTAAAAGAGATTTCAAAGTCAATTGACAGTTGCGTGATTGGAGCCAGGAGGGGTAGCTGCAGCTCACAGCTAACGATGCTTGCTTCTGTGCGTGAAGCAAGCGTCCTCGGTCATGTTTCAATTCCCTGGGGCAGCGAGCCAGGCTGGCTGGTGTGCACCAGGCACACGTGATGCCGGTCCGCCTTTGGTTTTGGTGATGGCTGGTGGGAGAAGGGAGGGGGACTAGCAGTAAGCTATATTCTCTATGTCGTTATATTTCTAATGTTGGTGTTCTTGTCTTTATGTCTACGCATTCTTTAGCTATGAGGATAACAGACCCTTCATCAAGTAAGAATGACCTGAATGGCTGATAAATTTCATTTATCAGTGTGGTCTCATGAACCAGCTGTCAGATCAATACTGAAAAATCATTAAAGCTTCTGTCATTCGCATTTGAGGCAGAAGAGCAAACTGTGCAGGAAGACGGTCAGGCATACAGCTAACGTGCAGAGTAAATGTGCTGCATATGTATTGCCAACCAATTGTCACCCTATTGGCTTTATATTCTTTGATTGGACATTATTTGAATTCAAGGTGAATGTTCCCAAGTTAATCCTGTGTAGTACAGACTTGTTATATGAATAGCAACCCTCTGGTCCACTGTGCTCTGTCATTGAGAATGCTTTATGGTAATGTAAATACAGAAGTAGATTTTCCAAAAGGTGCAAGGGTGGTAATCCCCATGATTCCCATTCTAGTTAATGGGAACAGTGCAAGCAAATCTGTGTTTGGTGCATTGGAGACTGTCTCCTTATTCATTGGAGTACCTAATTGTCCCTATTTGTAAATCTCGGATTTTCAAATACACCAAAACACGGATGGTTTTGTTTCTTTATTGCTATAAAATTGCACTACGGAAAAGAAAAACCGTGAAAAAGCAACAGCAAGTCTGTATAAAGAGCAAAACAAAAACCACAAGCCGCACCAAAAAAACCTGCGAAGAAAGGCAAAAATGCCTAGAAAGTACATGCCTTAGGGCATCTGTGCTTTTTCTCCTGCAACCAAAAAGTAATGCGCAGTAACATGAAATAGAAGCAAATCAACTTTGCAGTAGACTTTCAGTTTGTTCTTCTGGTGAAGAGTCCTTTGTGTTCATTCTTGCAGCATCATTCCCATGTTCTCTTTCATCGCTTGGTTCTTTTTTTTGATGGAGCTATTCAAAGTAATCTCCACGCCCTCTTTATCTTCAGGTCTTGTTTTCTGAAGCACAACACTGCAACGCGTGCAGTTTGCACTGTTGAGGGTCTTCTAACCCACAGATTCCTTTCCATCACTGAAGGTAGCATATTTCCACTAAATAACTGTTTTGCTCCTGCACACCTCTGCAGCCAAAGGCTCTTTAATCGGGTTCAAGACCTGGCTGTGCTTCAGAGCAGAATAGTTTTCTGATATCCTGGGAATCATTTTTAAAAGACTCTGTAAATGCAGGAAGCTTTTAATCGTGGAGGAAAAGAGAAGGGGGAGGAAAAAAGTGTTTTCCACTTCATTTGTTGCTCTTTTTTTAAGGAAAAAAAAATTATTTGTAGTTTTTAAATTGGCATGCAATTAAGATGATAATGTGCTCTCACTGATGGTGGAATCTCAGGGAGAAAAATATACCAAGCGGCTAAAGCTGTAAACTTTATCTAGTGGCTACCTTTCTGAAGGATTTTGAGAGTGCATTTTCAATTTGCATCATGCTAAATATTTATTAGCGGGATTGACTGGAAATGCTTCAAAGGAGCTGTTCTGGTCTGCTAGATACATAATTGTGATTTTTAAAGAACTGCCTTAATAAGCGGTTACCTTAGGGACCTCTTCTGGTCGTGTGGTTAAATAATACATATTTTATAAACTTCTGTGGAAGACTTAATGCTGTATTTTCGTTCTAATACCTAAAAAAAAACACAACAGAAAACATGAATACAACATCGGTGTGCTTCTGTTTGTGACGAGCCCTGCTGAAAGGAAAAGGAGTCAAGGCTGCAGCTGCCATGGAGTCTCCACAGTGGAGACTGCCTGCCTGACCTTTGCAGGACTTATTTTTCCCCTAAGCTGCTGCTGCTTCATCTTTCTCCCCCTTGCCCCATGCTCTGCTTAGCAGATGGAAGCCCAAATATGCCCAAACCCTGGCCAAGTTTCTACAAGGCTGAAGTGGCTTAGAAACATAGGCAGGTCCTTGTCCCTGTGAGCCCTTCTGCAGCACCTCAGGCTGCTTTGGGGCGGACAAGGAAGCAGAGATGCTGGCTGGCTGAAGGCTTGTCTGCTTTGGGGAACCAAAGGGTTAAAAGGTGAGGAAGGGATGCAAAGATTGTGTATCATTGCATTCATTTTTATGATGTTACACCTAATGATACCAGGGGAAGACAGAAGAAAATCAAGGCCTTGAGGGAAGGGGCAAAGGGATGCTCACGGTGCTGCTTGCTACGCACTCCCCACTGTGCTTCCCAGCTAGAAGTTGACTCCCTCCCCTTGCAGCAGCAATTCCTGTAAAGTTGTAGGTAATTTAGCATGTGGAAATTAGGGAGATGGCTAGGAACAGGACCCGGTTCCTATCCTGCTTGTCACACTTCATCTCATGCCCTGGTATTGGAAGATCAGTCTCTGAGAAGTTAATTTAGCAGATGACTAAATGTTATTTAGCAGGGTAACATGGACTACTTCTCCTGTCATCCCAGCAGAGCTTCCAGCTTTCCTGAAAGTGCACTGAAAAAAATAACATGCAGCAGCTGTCCCATGTTCCCAGCTCTGTCTGTCCAAGCAGAAAGTCACTGGGAGAAAGCAAGCAGAAACTGCAGACTACCCATATTTGCTTGAACAACGTTTGGGGCCAAGCAGTGGCTGCACCCCTACTCCTGCTTCCCTCTTTGGGTGGAGCAAGCACTAATCTTAGTTTTGCAGCTGATGTGAAGAAGGATTGCCCCTTCTTTTCTCTGTGCAGAAGTATGGCAGCAGCTACTGTTTTAGCAAACGTGGTGTGTGAGCGCCTATACGTGTATATATATTTCCCCTCATCACAGAGTGGAAGAAGTGTGAAGCAGCATCACAGAGAGCCTCCTTGTGCGGAGCTGATCTGGCAAGCAGTGAGGGCTTGCCCACCTGCTTGTAGTTGTTTTTCTGGCTTACAGGCATATGGGAGACTAGCTAAAATGCAGCAATACATGTGTCTTGGTGTTAAGCATAAAGAAGCTAATCCAGCTGGCACTCCCGCCCCACTGAAACCAGTGGACACTAAAAAAGTGACATTTAGAGTTGTTGTTTTGGTTGGTTTATTTTCTTTTCCTGCCATTTGCAGAAATAGCATCTACATGTCATTTACATACACACTGCTTTTACATTAAAAAAAAGAAAAGAAACATTGTGGTTACAAATATGCTTTGGTTATGATAAATTTCTATGCTCATAACATTTCCATTTCCGTGTATTTTCTCAAGCTTGAAGATTTGTAAACTGCATCCAGCTTGAAGACAAAACTCCCTACGACTCATTTTGATACGCTATTTTCTTTTTAAAAAAAAAAACACGGGCAAAGTCTTCCTGTTTGTAGACATGTGCCTTCTTTTGTAGATGAAAAACCAATCCCTTTTTTTTTTTTTGTTTCTCCTAACAGGTCCTGGGTTATAGGTGCAATAGCCCTACTCTGCCTGTTAGGACTGACCTGGGCATTCGGACTCATGTATATTAATGAAAGCACAGTCATCATGGCGTATCTCTTCACCATATTCAATTCTCTGCAGGGAATGTTTATATTCATTTTCCATTGTGTCCTCCAGAAAAAGGTAAGACAGACGGTTCCCAGCGGCAAAAGAGCTGGTAACGGGGTGTTTTGTTGCCTAACAACCGCAGCGTAACATCATCTGTGTGCCCTGAATTCGTCTCACGCAGATTTATCTCCGTGCACCTAATAAGGGTGGTATTTAGACTGGAAACCGGCAAGATGCAGGGGAATGAGGTGATAACGAAGATATGTGGCAGTGGCATTTCGGCAGCCGGGGCGCTGGCGTCAAGCGCGTCGGAGGCAAGGGAAAAGGCAGCTGACAGTTTGCAGGGCTTTACAGTAGCGAACCTGTAAAAGGGCTTTGTCTGCTATCGGCCCGATTCTCCTTTCCCACATGCCCGTGTGAGGCGGGAGCGACTCCACAAGCATCCGGAGGGTCTTCGCATGGCTGAGTGCTCGCAGCAAAATGGAGCTTTACACCCTCATTTGCAGTGCCTGCAGGAAATCACCCCTTTCTATAGCAGCATATATGGGTTGATGGTATGTAACAAGGGCTGCTTCCCCCGCTTTTTTAAAAACTGAAGGACCTATGCTCTGCAACAGTTCATTAGCCTTTGTATTGCTTGGTACTAACATGAGCTTTTGGAAATCTTCCTCAAAGCAAGCACAGTAAGTGCTTCTTAGTGGAACTTGAAGTATGCCCCAATTAACATTTGCAAGATAACAGCGGAGTAAACTTGGGGGGGGGATCAAAATAAAAATCTGTGTGTAAATGTAGATCAAACTTACAGCCTCTGACAATCAGTAATAAATATTTTTAAGAACCATTTTATTCTCCACTGAAATGCAGTAGTACAGAGCTCTCCAATTCTGTGCATGTCTGCTGATAATTTTTTATGTACATCTTGGTTTCAAAGGGCAGTTTCTTTATCCAATATAAACATAGGGAAGAGTTTATACATGGATACATCTGGGTCCCAGTTTCTCAGTGTAACCAGTGGCTTTTGGTGAAATGGCTTACTGGGTAAAGTCAGGGCCATGTTGAGGTCTGTTCTCCATCCGAGAGCCCTGGGCTTGCTCCCATGTTACCCACATTTTCCTATACAGGGAAGGGAGATCAGACCTATGAAAACATAAGCAAAATTCATCATAGCAAATGAGGTCTGCGAGCGATGCCTCCGGAAGGATCTGCAGAGCTGTGCGAAAATGTCCTTGAAACCAAAGGAAGACTTCTGGAAGAGTTTTGTCCTACTCATTTCACCTCGAATTTGTGCATCTTAAAAAGCTTAAAAGCTTTAGCTAGATGCAACTGCCTGTTGATGATCCCAAAAATTTCAGCAAGAAAGTTTCCAGGCAAGATGATAATAAGAGTGTAAGAAGCATCACTGTCGCTAATTAAACCTGCAGGTGCCTCTTTGACGAGGAGTTTGAATTTCTGCACCATTCTCACTGGTCCATCCTCTCACCTCCAATGCACCTCGCAAAGGGTCAGTCCATAACCTGGTATCCCAGCACAGCACTGCAGCCTCCTTGGCTATCAGGGTGCTCACTCGGCATGGAAGAACCATTCTCTTTTCTGTCTCAAGCTAGTCTACACCCTTAAACCGTCACTGATGACTGTGGGATCGCTCCTGATTTATGGCTGCATAGAGGGAAGGAGAATGCAGCTGGTGCCTTGCTGTGGGGTGGATGCATCTCTCTGACCCAAGAGCTGAGGGAGGAATTATTTGAGAGGAGAAAAAACCCAAAATCCTTTCCTATCTATCATGGACTAAAAAATCAGCAAAAAGCTGCAGAGAGGCAAGCAGTGGGTGGCTAATTAAAGCAATTGAATTATTTTCTCTCAGCAAAGGATTGATTAGGCACTCAAGCATATTGGGCACTCGTGGTATTGTGTTTGTCTCAAGCGCTTGAGGAAGAGCCTAATGAAAAAGCTGTAATTTGCTATTTAAACAGTTGTTTCACAGAGTTTTGAAATGCTCATAGATAGTCTGGCAAATTTCACGCTAACCATGTGCTCCAAGGAACATGCTTGGGGTTTTTTAGGCTTTTTTTTGTCAATGGGCAGCGTGACCTGCTTTTGGCTTTTCAGTACAGTCTGGTCATTTTCGGTGTTGTCCTATCTGGTTTCTGTGTATTGCTGCCCATAAAAAATCATAGCTGAAGCTCAGTCAAAGTTTAGATCCTGCCCTGTCACAAGTCAGCATAGTTCCCCAGAAACAAAGGAGGTGGCATGGCTTTACTCCAGGCAAGGAGTTGGCCTGGTTTGACTGCAATGCCCATTTAAAACATGACTGGCTTGCACAGTGCTGTGGGAAAGCAGGCTCCAGCCACCCCTGTGCACTGGGAATATAATATCTAGGGCTGCTGGCTCTACAGTTTCCTCGAGTTTCAATTTGACTGCAAGAAATAATAATAAAAAAAAAAAATCAATAGCTCTTACATGTTTCTTTTGGAATTTTTCTTCTTAGTCCCCTGCCAGAAGCAATAACTTTTAGTACCTTGATAAGCCAATATGCTAGTTTATATCAAATCTATGAGGATATTAATTTTCAGTCATAAATAGTGTATCTGTAGTTTCTCCCATGCTCTTTGATGTGCCTCAGAGGAAACTACAACCGACTGGTGTCAATGAGCAGCTTTGCTGCATAAAAGCAGTCCCTTACGCCATCATAAACGGTGAGCTCACGTATCAAGAGCATTCAGCTGCAAGGTGTAATAGGCTTCTTCCCCGTGTACTGCAACAGCTATCATTTTAATGAACCACTGAGGAAAAATCAGGGGACGTGTTGAAAATCAGAAGGCGCTGGGTTGGAGGAGGAGCTGCCTGCTAACTGCCGTTGCTCTTTCCTTGGTTAGGTACGTAAAGAGTATGGAAAATGCCTGCGCACGCATTGCTGTAGTGGGAAAAGTACAGAGAGCTCTATCGGCTCAGGAAAAACCTCGGGGTCACGGACACCTGGAAGATATTCCACAGGCTCACAGGTAACCCGTGCTTCTTGCCCACGCCCCAATGCTTTGCACCACTGCACCGATACCCTTCGTGGCTATGTTGGGAGGGAAGCTCCTCTCGGCACCAAACGAGCTGCCTTAGGGCGCTCCCCAGTGCACCCGCAGAGATTTCCCTCCCTCCTGGACCTGAATTCAATATGGTGGCTTCCCTTGGGATGTGATGGCAATTAGTGCCTCTCCAAGAACCTTCTAAATAATTGTGATGAGAATAAAAAGTCCAAATTTGCCTTCCAGAGGCAGGTGGGTGCTCATCACCTGTGCTGTCCTGCCCACTCTCCATGGGAACCAGGAGCTGGGAGCATTTTGTCAGCTACACTACATCCCAGTACATCCTTTAATCACGAACTGAAGGTTGTTGTCACCACTATTGCCATGTACAGGAATGATGCGATAACAACCAAGTATTTTTCTTGTTAAAAAAAGACTACAGGAGCCTTGCAATAGCCTTCACAGTAAAAGGGCTTGCTTTCTGGCATTCAGTGGTTTGATCAATTCCTTGCCTCATTCAATTTGCCTTAGTTTATAGACCTCTTAGGAGAATCCATTGGGGTCAGATTATCTTATTAAGTTACTGGATTTGTTACGCTTTGGTCACCTGAAAATTCAGGTTTTGTGTAGTTTGTGCACTTAGCAATTTTGAAGCTAACTTGTATGTACAGATGCAGATTTATGGACTAACAGTTCATACAAAATGAAGAAGCTTACTTCTTAATCAATAGAAACCAAACAGAAATTTATTCAGTATTACTAATGGAAGTAATTATACATGACAGTTCCACTATTAAATTATGAAAGACATGCAGCAAGTAACAGTTTATAACCTCCCAGGAAAACCTAATTTGCGATTTATGTCTTTGAGCAAATTATTATTTATTTTCTTGCTTTCCGAGATGTCATCCAAGAGCTCCACTTTGGCATTTACATAGGTCTGGATGTTATGCAGGGCAAATAACAGCAGTAGAATATGGAGCCTGTCTCCAGTAGGCCATCAAATACCACAGTAATCAATAATGTCCAAAACTCACTATATCCAGCAACATTTAGGTGGCTGATTTGAAAGCCTTTGGTTTTACATAACTTAGCTTCTGGGTAGGCGCCCTCCTCTCCTAGAAGAGTTCACTTTAATGGGCCCTCCCTCTTGGTAGTCTCAGCACAAGAAAACAAGCCCTTTTGAGGGTGAACGGAGTCTCCTGGCAGCAGTCCCCTCGTGGCAGGTGAGGTGTGAGGTACCAAGGAAGGTTATTTTGCCTGCAGAAGCTTGTCCTTGGAAGGATGGAAGTGCCTGAGACCTATTGTAGGCAGGAGAAACCTCACATGCGTGATGGAGAGTGGATGGAGATCAGTCTGAGCTGTTGAAAGCATCTGACTCCTAACTTTTGAATAGAGAAGTCCATGAGGAGGAAAACTCCTAAGATCCTTTTTTTCTCTGAAAAGCACTTAGGAAACAGAGTAATTAATCCACAATGGATCACGTCAGAGAAATACAATAGATTAAATGTCCAGGTGAAAAATAATTGCTGTAAAAGTGCATGGGCCTCATGTCACATTGTGCTTCCATTTATAGAGGGCTAATGCATGATTAGGAGATGCCGTTACTCCATAGTTAATGAGTAGACTAGGAGGCACTTTTCAGCTGTGACCACATGAGTAAGCCCTAGAAGATCTCGCATGGCTACAGGAAGCACTGGATTTTTAGCAATTAGGAAAAACATGGTCTGTCACAGTGGGATCCAGCCTTCCCGATCCACCAGACCGCCTAGCACCACTTTCACGCAGCCATGGGACACGTCCATCATACTCTGAGAGGTGAGGTGAGGGAGAGTTTCCCCTGGACACCTGGGTTCCCCAGTCATGTTCACACGGGGATTGTGGTTGAACTGCTCGCAAGATGCGTATTGGCTGATTTTTTGATCTTTTGCAAGGTCTAGTTGGGGAGGAGCAAGATAGTGACTTAAAAGTCACAGAGGTAGATACTCCACAGCATATTTGAGAAACAAAACAGAAGGCCAACATATTCGGGACACTGCTTCCCCAGCAGCAGAAGGTATACCACAGGTGGCAAAATCATCACAGATTTTTCGGTAGGGGAACAGAAATCATTCATTTGTGGGGGATTTTTTTTCCCCCATTATTCCCCAAGATGTATAGTAGCTATAGAAAACTTCTGTTCATTCAGGGACACCAGGACATAGATCAAGTCTTCTCTTACACTTCACAAAAAATAAGACACAAGCTATCTGAGATAGTATGGGAAGCAAGCGTGCTTCTGTGTGTAAGTTATTTTTCCATTATTTGGTGCTATATTGGTAAATCTGTAACTCACACGGGTCTGGGTTTCTCTTATATATGATTTCTATTGCTTTTTTAAATTAAGATGTAAGCAATCCAATTATACACTTCTTTGAGATAGGTGTTTGTGTTACGAAGTTAGGCAGGCAGGGTCTGGCATGCATGAGGTGGGTTATAGCAAAACAGCAACCACTTGCTTACAGCTGGCTAGAAACAAGTCTCATCCTGAGCTAGACATGCCAATAGCGATCTTTAGTGAGGCAGAAAAAAACCTGTCTGCAGCTGCTAAAAATTCATTACCTGCTGTGGTTCAATCCCTCTTCAGAGCCGGATTCGTAGGATGTGGAATGACACAGTTCGAAAGCAGTCCGAGTCTTCCTTTATTACTGGAGATATAAACAGTTCAGCTTCACTCAACAGAGGTAATTATATACTGTTTTTCATATCTCTAACTCTTCTGATGGCTTCAAGGAGTCTGAAACGTGTTGCCCCTTTACCCCCCTCCCCCCTCCTCCTCACCTCGAACAGCACTGGACCCTATTCTCCCCCATAAGAAATGTTACAATGATAACTGGGAGGAGGTTTTGTGGTGGTTGTTGCCTTTTTTTCCTTTTCTTTCTTTATTTTTATACATGCATTTTCAAGAATTGTCATTTCTGGAAGGGAGTTAGGAAAAGCAAAAAAGATAAATGAAATGAAGTTGAAAAGAAATCTCCCCTTTCCCTCAGCAAACTGCTAGTCCCAGAAGCTGCTGAGGTGTCAGGCCTCATTGCTGATGGTGAAAATGGGCCGTTACGGCACTGTACAGCCTGTGTTAAGCATCACAAGAGTCCTGATTGTCCCGGGTATGTAGCAATACTGTCATCTTTACAGAAGCAAAAATGAACAGCAGAGCATAGACATAAGAAAAAACTGTGCTTGGAACAAAATTGTCTGCATTGATGTTAAAATACCTAGTTTGAAGAACTGACTGATGTGAACTTTATAGACATCTGCGGAGGAAAGGCTATCAGAAATGTATATGCCAAACAAAATGTGGTGCCTGGCACAGGAGGAAATCTGAACAGCTTTTTTTAAAAAAGTCTTTTTCAAGGAGTTGCAGGAAAATGACAGTAAGGGAATACCAGAAAAAGAGCTTCAGAGATTGGTTTCTTTCTCCTCCCGTACGATTACTTTATGGCTTAGCCTTGAGCAGATGCCAAATTCTGTTTTGTGTATCTGCCCAGTTGATGCTGAAATTAAGAGGGGGTAGAATTGGGATTACTGGGCCCAGCTGTTCTCTCACGATGGTGAAAATCAAAAGTATTTCCAATCCTGACGGTTGGACTGCAAAGCTCAACTGAGAATTGAGTTGGGACTTTGGTTCTTATTCAGTCTTTATTCACCCAGAATTCCCACTGATTTTAGGGTAAGTTTTGCCTGAGGATAGGCTTGAAGGATTTTGACTGTGCTGTTAGTAATATTGACTACTGAGTGCTGGGGAACTAGGAGTATATGATTCAATTCTCTGAACATTATATATTGCCCAAATCAGTGCAAAGCGGAAGGCAGTGTAGTTAATATGGAGATGTACTTTTCTCCCTCAACCCACTCTGGTGGTTTTTGTGCCAGGATATTTTCACTCTGCACTATAGATTCATTCAAAGACGGCCGTAAGATGCTGTTACTGCAAATGCCTGATTTATCCGCATGCGTTGCCCTCGCATCTCTCTCTGTCTTTGCATCAAAGACTGGAGAGCTACAGCCAGGCTTCTCCAGGGCTAATTTAGACGAGGATCAGTTGTCACACAAAGGTTACGGCAAGAACCGCTGTTTCCCTCAGCCATCCATTGCTCCATCTCAGCAACTAACCAAAATGTCTTATGCGTTAAATGTTCACTCCTTTAGTTAGCACAGAAGTTGACTTGCTCTCCGATGCAGCTGAGGCTACAGAGGGAAATGCTTTAGCAAACGGGATCTTCTGGGCTCGTCAACAGAAGAAAGACATTCCTCATTTTTCAGTTTAGGCTTTCTTTTCCATGCAAAGAAGGGGGTATGACCATAAATTGGGAAAGCTGTGAAGAGGTTTCAAGTGGGCGATCTTCATTCCAGTGTGGCGAGAGCCTGTTACTAGATGTGACCATTATTTAAAGGTCAGTTGGGAAATGAACTGCTGGGAGAGGCATCTTCAAAGCAGATTTCATCCAGCTATTTTCCTTGTGTGGCATCAGATGAGATGAATCACCCAAAGGGCCTGTATCTCTCCACTGTCTACAGAAGCAGCCTCATAACTGCCCTTTTGGAAGGGAAGTCTTTTAGGTGGGACACTTAAGTGACTTGAATACGTTGTACTATTATACAGGGGCATCCTCCCTCTTTTTCACAATATTTGTTGTTTTTTTTCTTTTCTGGTAGACAGAAATATCTGCAAAATGGAGGTTAAAACATTTCTTTGGGAGTTAGCATCTCCAAAGCAGCAGGTTGTCAGTTCTGCTAGGAAAATACACCTGACATCAACAATAATCCCAACCACATGGGGCCCCCAATATTTCACACTTTATTCTGTTTATTTCAGCTGAAAAGAAACATTCGTGGTCTCAGGGCTTTGCATAGAGCATAAGTTGTTTTTGCAATCTCTCCAGAGAGAGCTGCAGCCTGAACAGACTAGTGGGCAATGTGTTTTTCACAGTTCTTGTCTTCCTCTTAATATTTTAATATATATCAAGCTTTAAAGGAGCTGTTTCATTAATCTTTTATTTACAAGTGTGCAATAAAAGCTCAGAGGAGTCAAGTGCGAGCCTTGAATTGTATAGTTAGTAGCTTTCCCTGCCTGAGGTTGATACAACAGGCTCACGTACCTGTTCAGAAGTCCCTCTCCAGCCCTCCCAGCCTAGACACCTTTTGCATGAAAGTATCTGTATTATCCCAAATTAAACATTCTTTGTGCGCTGGTATTTTTCCCAGAGCCTTCAGACAGCAGCCCCCTTTCTAAAACAGGGAGAAAATGATCTTTCTCCCCAGAATCACCCCATCTTCCAGGTCCTGGCCCGACTCCACTTCTCCATGTCCTGGGCCAGCGCTGAGTTTTCATGTTTCTGTCGTTGGAGCAGAAAGCAGTGAGACATCCTCCAACTGGGATACTTTCTCATTTAAGCTTTTTTTCCCTGATCACATTCACAGTACCCGCAGTCCCCTGCCACTTGGTAATGTCCCAGGCAAGACTGCTCTAGTTATCCGTATTCCTGTATGATGACCAGCATCTCTCTATACCATCCCATGCCCTCTTCTTCCTCCATGAAGCTCCTGGGCATCAGTGTGGAATATGGTGTCTGTGTTAGTGCCTCCCGCCTTTGGCACGTGACTATGTCTTTCTCTGATTTAGCAGATATCACACTGCTTATGGCTTTTTTCCGTTCCAGATCCTCTTTTATCAACTGCCCCGCCCCCCAAAAGTAATTGGCCATAATGTTATTTTTCTTATTCTCATTTTATCATACCAGGAATTTCAGGTGTAAGCCCAAACTTGCCTGACGAAATGTGTTCTGTAATGAAAACTATACTCACTCTTAACTCCTAAGACATTCACGACCATTTCAGATATTTCCTGAATGTAACGACTAATTACAGATTAGTCAAAAATGTTTCAGGCTTCGTTCCGCCTTGCTGCTTGTTATGGCTTAGCAATGGTGTGGATTTGAGGTTGTTATACCACTGAAATCAGGAGAAAGGGAACAGAAATCAGCCATGGATTTCCTCTTCTACCATCGGATGAAGAGCATGCCAGTCCACCCCATGGTCATGGACTCTGTTTCAGGATCCAGGGGGATCCCTGCTCCTTGCACTCCCACTCTGCAACCTTGCCCAATTTTTCCCACCGTGGGTCTGGCTGGATATTTCTGCCATCTATTTCACATGCACCTGTGCTCTACATTTCTTTGCCCAGTGCTGAAAACTCACAGGGCTGTAAAAGCTGAACCAAGCTGATTACCTCATGAGTAGAAAAAAGAAGTCTCCCTTTGCCTGTAGGGTGTTTGGTGTAAGTGGTCTTGATATAGGCACTTGGATGCAATGCTGAAAAACTGGACCAAAAGGGATGGGTGTAGGATGGACTAAAGCGAAAACTTACAACTTCGAAGGCTGAAAAGTAGAAGGTGTGAAGCGAAAGCAACAGACAGAGTTTTCCTTTGTGTTAGGTTCATGAGGAGAAAGTGGAGCAGATGTCTGCTTGGTTATAACAGCAGATTTTTTGGTACATGGGCTAAGGATAGTTTTTAAAAAGAGCTAGAGATTAAAAGCAATTAACAGCATTACAGTTATTCCAATTCTGCTGTACTTGTGCTTTGGTAATCAAGTCATGGACCTGTGCTGTACCCACGGATGGAGCCAGAAAGGGAAATCGGGATGTCTCTCAGCATGGTGCTGATGGCAAGAGGAGCAGATTGCAGGGGACCGCTGTAAGCGTGAGCACTGCTGGGCTCTGATGGTGCAGCACAGGCCCAAGCTTTGGGTACATCCAAGTCACCACCTCAGGAGCATGAGGGACAGGTCTGTTTGCACCTTTGGAGCATTACTGTCAAAAAGCACTTGGATAGCTCAGACAGCCTTGCGAACAAGTAGTCATAGCACGAAACAGCAATGCGACTCCAGCCTATTTTTATCCATGACTTAGGTGAGAGGTAATACAGTAATTACTGTCTCTCTTCAGATACGAGACAACTGGGAGAGAAAAAAAATCATCATGAACTATATGGTACTTTGTTACCCTTCAGGTTTTCAAGTGGGGGGGGGTGTGTGATTTTTTTTTTTTCCAAAGGAAAAATTGAAGCTATCTGTTAAAGAAAGGAGTGTTCCTTGTTTTGGTGAGGCTTGAGAGCAGCAGAGCAAAGAAGAGTTTGTCACTGGTATGAGGCAGTGCTTTGTTACAGGAAAATGCACTGATGGAACTATGTATATCCATTCAAGTTAGCAGATAAGGGGAACTGTATCTTCATTCGTGGCAAATGCCTACTGCATCTTAATGGTTTTTCCCTCTTTGGGGAAATAAATGGGCTAGGGGTAAAGCCACCAGATTTCTTTGAAAATAGAAACTACTCCAGAAGCCTGTTGTGTTGGGTCAAGTGCTGTACTCCCGCTGTAATGCTCTGAGTCTTGGCTTACAAACTAGACAGCAATAGTTTATTCCAATAACAGTCTTGCTATACAAACCTCTGTATGTGCACCTCTTGTCTTTTGGCTGTATGCATATATGCTTCATGTCCCCTCACCCCCAAAGCACTGCACACCATCCCCACCACCCTCATCCACAGAGGTCTTCTGGAGGGATTTCTTGGTGGTCTACATTGCTGCTCCACTTGTCTGAAGGACAAGAAACATCAAGGAGCTGTAAGAGCAGAGCTGTTTCATGAGGAAGAAGAGCTGGGAGCTGAGGGGGAGTCACATACAA